AAAATGAAATATTAAAAACACGATGTATCTCGCTGCATTACGCGAGTACGTTCCTAGTTGTTTTTAATATAATCTATACTACCTTATAAACCAGATTTATCAAAAGTCTTAAAAATAATTTTTAATGCACAAAATACTATACATTTATGCACAAAGTCTTAAAAGTCTTAAAAACAACTCATAATGCATTAAGTACTACTACTTTATGCATTTAGTCTTAAAATCTCTTAATCTACAATTAAAATAACATATAATACAAGTTACCAATGCACATTATTACAAAAAGGTTTTCAAAATACTTTTCACACATTTCACTCATGCCTTCACTCTCTCATACCTCTATGTCTTCTCCTCATCTCCCAAGGTGAGATTCAAATTGATATTCACCATGAGTTATTAAAATTTATCTCATTCATCTCCCATTCTACTGCTCTACAACTCTCGGTCTCACTCTCGATCTCTTGATTCGTTGCTCTTGGAGTAAATCGAACACATTTGTGAAGTCATTTAAATATATTAGATTTTAAACTGTCATACAATTTTTTTCATCGATAGACTGTAATTGGAACCATAACTCTTATTTTTTCATATTGTATTAATATGTAAAGACCAAGTGTAAAACCAGTGAAACTTCAAAATTGTTAAAATTCACGGCTCCTGCCGCATTGCGCGGGTACACAACCAGTATATATAAATATAATATTTTAAAAAAAACAAAAAAAAATTGAAAATGGTAAAGAATGAAAATAATGGACTTTGTTTAATGGACTGGGGTTCTTCGGTTCGTTTTCTGTTAAGACGTGTATGAATATAGTTGTTTGTATTGATATAGTTGTTTGTATATTAACAAATAAATTGTTGTTCGGTTGTTGTGTTGAATAAACAATTTGAATATCAGAAATGACCAATTACCCTCAGTCTATTTTTGTCTGAATAAAACACAGTTTGATAAAAACATTGACCAAATGACTTTTAAATTGAAATTTTTGAGGATCAATTTTATTACATCAGGTACCCATAACAAGAACAACAAGTAGATCAAATGAAACCAAAATGTTGAATCAAATGAAACCCCAATTCAAAAGAACCCAAATTAGTGAAACCCTAAATACATGTGAATCAAAAGAGTGAAGGTGAAGAGCGGACCCAAAAAGGATAAAGAAGAAAGAAGTTTCTGTCATCTAAAGATCTCGAGAATCTTTGGTATATCTATATGACAAATATGTCGGTGTTTATGCACATGTAGGCAACAGTAAAGGAGGAGGATGGCATGAATTCTATGGCTCATAGATTACTTTCTGCAGCTGTAAAGGTAAGCGTTCTTGATGACCAACGATGGAGGAGGAGATGACCAAGTGACAAGGTAAGAGGTGATGATCGGTGATAGGGTAAGAGGTGATGACCGATGATAGTGGGAGGAAGAGATGACCAACGATGGAGGAGGAGGTGATCGATATGGTAGGTTTTCCATGGATCTTTGACGGAAATTGAAGAATCGAAGGGTTGAATACGAAGGGGAAAGGCTGTTGGGAGAGGGGTAGTTGGAGGAAATTCAATGGCTGAATACAAAGGACATAAGTTTTGTAGCTGAGGGATTCAACCATGTGCTGACTGAATAAGCCCATACCGAACAGCTAGATATGGCTGTGCAAATAAGCCATATAGCTTATACAACCTATTAAACCATAACTGAACAACCCCTTAGTTATAGTGACAGAAAAAAAAACAAATAATTTCAAATTACAGTAACGAAAAAAAATGTAGTTCTTGAACCGCTTGGATGAATTTAGCAACTTTTGACAAGCCGCAATAACTAAAATCACAGTTTACTCGACATTTTAGGAGGTACGTAAAATGGCAAGTGACAAATATAGATGGTAAATATAGGATATTAATATAGGAAAATAATTATCCCTTTATTTTAAAGGACATGACTTATACTATTTTCAAAGACATGGGTTGAGCACTTAAAGGTTGGACATGACCACCTTAGACATTTTTAAATTTCAAGAACATTGCGACTTTATACATTTCTAAGGACCTTTTTTTTTATAAGAGTTCATGAATACATAAGATAAAGATAGCAGACTAGAGGTGAGAATATGTAGTTATCATATACGGATGGTGATCATATTACCTGTATGATCCATCATCCACCATTCATATTAAAAAACACATTATTATATTATTTAATATAAATCTATTAAATTCATGCTTTTATGGATACATGGCAAATCCATCAATTATGTGAAAACATATTATTATTTTATTTAATATAAATATATATTTATTAAAATCTTAATAAAATGATACAAGATAACATGAGATCTAGGGAGTGGAGATTCTTATTCTGTAATTAATAAGGATGCAGCTAACGACCTTTGACCTTTACTATTAGTATCTGGCACTCGGGATCATCGCTAAAATCCTGCTATGCTGTTGGCTGTTGAGATTTTTCCAAGGTTCTTACTCGTCTCTTTCTCTCAAACTATCTTAACCACAAACCCCTCACTTTCTTATTGCTCGGCGATCATCACCGGCACACTACATGAGCCATTCCTAGCTTCCTTGAACCCATTACCAAACTAACAGACTTATAATTAATCCTTAGCCAGCATGGGACTCTTCGTCCATACAATCACAAGCCATGGATAACGACTACAGACCTAAAATCCAACGGTTCGGCCGTTGGTTTACTAACAAGCACAAGTTCAGATCTCACTCTTCACTTTCTACACATCTTTCAGGTTATTATAAATCATTTTCCAAACCATTTTGTTAGCTTAAACTTTTTTGATGGTTTTGTAGAGTTAATTCCCCTGGATTAAAGTTACCACAATAGAATTTTGCAGATGGGTCTGGAGATGAATACGAGGAGGAAGATTTGTCTATCTCATCGGAGATGGATCCGTGCATTCTAACCAATGAATTACGGTAACTACGGTTAATTAGCCACTATGATATCTGTATATGTGATTGATATTTACAATGTATCTTCATGTTTTAGGATATTTGTGGCCACTTGGAATGTTGCGGGAAGATCTCCGGTTGGAAGTTTGGCTATGGATTTGGATGAATGGCTGAATGTGAAAGAATCAGCCGACATCTATGTTCTTGGGTACTAGCTCCTACATATAGAGACAGTATATATATAACTGCAAGTGACCTCTGAGGATTAAGTTTCTAAGTACTTCTTATGATCATATACAGATTTCAAGAGATTGTACCGTTGAAAGCTAAAAATGTCATCGGAGGAGAAGATCTAACCGAAGCAACAAACTGGAACCTGCTTATTGGACAAATACTTAATGGGTGCCCTTGGATGCTAAATCCAGTCACAAGCGAAGATTATAACTATCTAAATGTCTCCAAAAGGGAAACAAGAGCAGGTACAAGTTCACAAGAAGAAGAGCTTAATGGGTGCAGTAGGTACAGGCTAATGGCAAGCAAGAAGATGGTTGGGGTGTTCATAAGTGTGTGGATGAACACAAGATTGTTCAAGAGATACTGTATATCGAAGGTGAAAGTTTGTGCTGTGGCCTGTGGCGTTATGGGTTATTTGGGAAACAAAGGGTCAGTGTCTGTCAGCATGTCGATAGAAGGAACTAGCTTCTGCTTTATTGTTGCCCACTTGGCTTCTGGTGAGAAGAAAGGGGACGAAGGGAGAAGGAATCACCAAGTTTCTGAGATTTTCAAGCGAACAACTTTCACTCAACACCTTCCAGATGATTACAGTCCTCGGCCTCTCACGATCCTAGGACATGAGTAAGTAATGTGTGTTGGAATCCCATATCGGTCAGGCCTGGATCATATCTCCTTAATATAAGCGCTCTTTTGGAGAGTAATCTAATAGGATTCCACATATTTTCACATAGTGTTTTGCGTTCTTTAGTTGCTCTTTGAAATATGTGATTCCAATTTTGATATGTAATGTTTTGTGGAACAGCCAGATATTTTGGTTTGGAGATCTCAACTACAGGTTATACTTGCAAGATGATATAGCGAGGGAGCTGATAAAGAAGCAAGATTGGAGAGCACTTCAAGAGTTTGATCAGCTACGGCAAGAACTGGGAGATGGCGGAGTATTTCAAGGGTGGAGAGAAGGGAACATAGAATTTGCACCTACTTACAAGTATTCGACATTCAATAGCAACCGCTACTCGGGTACACTTCCAAGCAGAGCAGGAGAAAAACAAAGGACTCCAGCATGGTATACAGATCTACTCTATTCTCCATTAATCTCTTCCTATGCGTTAAGAGTCCCACACAGGCGAGATTTAGACCATTTCTTCTCTACATATGTTAGGAACCTCCATTCTCTCCTAAATGACTCTTTTGAAGAGTAATCTAATGGGGTTTCCACTTTCGACTATTCTCACATGGTATCAGTTCTAGTGTCCAACACTCTAGGGACTCGACACCCTCGGGAAATCTAAACTCGTCTAGCCCCCCTCTCAACACTCTGACAATTTGTGTCCGTCTAGTCCAGATTGGAGGGGGGGGGGTGTTAGAATCCCACATCGGATACACTTGGACCATTTCTGCTCTATATATGTCGGAACCTCCTTTCTCTCCTCAAGAGCTCTTTTGGAGAGTAATCTAATGGGGTTTCACATATTCTCACACTATGGTACAATCCCGAACCAAAACATCTTTGATAAACTTAGGAGATAGTGATGGCTGGTATTTAAATGAACACAAATTATGTTGAAATCTAACTGCCATTATTGAAAGAGTACCCTTACCTTAGCCTCTTGCACCACGTGACCTGCTTTCAAAACAAGGTCCCCTTAACAATTGTGCCAGTACAGGTAATCACACCTCCATTTAAGGACAAATCCAAATCCGAAAATGCTCTCTCTCCTGCTTTTTTCAAAAAAAATGCAACAAACAATCATGTCAAATATTGCATTGAAAAGTATTTATAGTGAAAACAACGGAAGTCTATCATTTGGTCTTAGGATTATTGTCTTGACTATAATTTTTATGTGCCAACTCCAAATGCTTTAAAAGAGATGATACATAATGTAATCTTATTGTTCCTAGTGTAGGTGTGACAGGATCTTATGGTATGGGAAAGGAGTAAAGCAACATTCTTATTTCCGCAGTGAGAGCAAGTTCTCAGATCACAGGCCTGTATCTGCTCTTTTCTCTACACAGATTGAAGTCGTGAAGTCTGATGACACAAGTGTTGTTTCACTCCAACCTGATGTACCCACTACAGTTTACTCTAAACATACTGTAAGAAATCTATCAAGCTCTTGTTCTAATATATGAATAAACCTAACATCTTCAACACGTAAATGGATGATGACTTGATGATGTGATTAATAACAGGAGAGAGGTAATGCAGAGGCTTCATCTACATTACTTTCACTAATTACCAAAGAGTTAAAAGCATCACCAACAAACAAAAAGAAGTCATAGTAGAAACAAAAAGTTGTGTTGCAAGATTCATTGGATTAGATACATACATATACTGTTTTTGGTTCAATTTCTTTTGTTCTTTTATGGTTCTATTTTCGCTACTCCTTTTTCCTTAATTTTTTCCTCCTTGCAACATAGTATGCTATCAAAGACTTGAGTTGGAAGGTACTATTGACTATACAGGGATGTTATGAATGACTTATACATGTACCACATGTCAGAAATGCCCATAATCTTGAGGCATTAATGATATATGAATTCGTTATTTAAAGATATACAATGTTCAGTTCAGGAAGAACATTTATTTCCACCTTCTGCAAAAGATAATTGCCGTTCCCTTCCAGAAAGTAGGGCTACATTCACTTCGAGGTGCTGCAGCTGTTACCATATTAATGTGATCTTCAATCAGAAAACTCAAACAAAGTATTCAATTCAGAAATCCATAAAAGCCAAGAGTTTAAATAGTCTTTTTGATGTTTATATGATGAGTTCTGCGAAATATATCCACATTGTCACGGTTATGCAATAAAAAGCCAGGCAAGTGTTGTCTACATCGAACTGAGAAATTTTCATTATTAAAAAAGTGAGATCCACATTTCATTGACACATTGGTTAAACATAAGCCTTGTAATATCATTCATACACATTGTCTTAAAAGGTTCTGCTCAAAGGTAATAGAACTCACAGGTTCACTGTGTCACATCTGTTCTATCTTGGTGGTAAGCGATAATTTCTTTGTCATTCTTTCGATTGTTATTAGCTTACAACGCTCGTCATTAGTACTTAGTACGTCAATCAACAAACATGATCATGCCTACTTCCAAAAAAGATTGAGTTACATTCTGATATTCAGATTGATAACCCTCGTTTTGGCCCTAACACATAAACTGAAGATCACGTTAAACTATACATCAACTGAATGTGCTCTTCGACAAGATTTGAAGTAATAAAAACATATTTACAACTTGATATAAGATCTCAGGATGATAGCCAGAGAAAGGCGGTGAACGAAAAACGAGCGGAAATTCGGAATGTCGATTGTATAAACAATATGAAAAGATGAATTCTATTACGATTGCCGTACCTCCGTGAGATCTTCCGGTAGCGAAGTTGCAAGTTAGGGTCAGAAGTTCCCCAAAAATCCATTTTAACAGCTTCAGCGATCAGCAAATTCCTGCTCCTGCCTGCCATTAAGAGTTCATCACAGTTTTCCTTTTCGCGCTAATTCTCGTTGAAGAGGGTTTTCGGTTGAAAGTCTTTACTCTTTATATGCCATCAAAACCATCAGGTCTAGTAGTGCAGTGGTTATTTGTACAGTACAATAAACTGATGCATGGAGATTGGAGAGGCAAATCGGCCATCCTGTTGGGCCGGGCTTAGTTAACAACATAAAAACAAATGGGCTTTACCGTACTTCTTTTAACCTTAGTTTGAATTTGAAAAACGTATTTTCAAAACAAAGAATTTAGGGACCGTTTACCAAACATTTATCCGGATAAGTTTTAATCGACAAAAATTCAACACTATCACTTATTTATAGGGGTAGATTTTAGTTCACCAAAATGGTATTGTATGCAACAATTTATCTGGTAAGCGCTAACCATATGATTTGTATACCCACTTAACTGATAACTTGTGTTGGGTTATAAATTGTACTAACATCTATCTTTAATTGATATTAACCGACGTGAAAACGGGAATAAAATAATTATTTTAAGTGAGAAGAATATATAGATTTGTAAAGGTTTGAATATAAAAAAAATACTTCTCCCAAACAATATAGAAGTCGTTTTTTCACTAAAAACACAATCAATTAACAAATATACAAATTGATTAACAAGTATCTGTTGTAAACATGTACATAATATTCATAGTTTGACCATCAAAAAAGTTAAATGCCAATGATATGAACGATACATAAACCAGACACATTGCAAAATCCAAAAAAAAAAATACGTGTACATTTGTTGTTTGACCATTAAAATAAAGTAAAATGCACAACCCTAGAATACATAATTAGTATGTACATTGGTGCATTTAACCATCGAAAAGCATGAATGCACTAAAAACAACACCCATAATCCTCGATCTATTTAGTTTAAGCAATGTTGTCATCAGCCATTAAATGTGGTTTTAAGGGAATTAACTTTATTAAACAAAATTAGTATATCCAACAATGATTTTAACCATCAAAAAACAAGAATGCACTAAAGACGGTGCAGAAACCTTGGTTGCATACACCTTTCATGCTTTTATCATTAATAAAGTTAAATACCTGACAACCACAACTGATGGCAACATTGCATAAACCAAACACGTTACATTGCAACAAAAGGTTTTTATATTACTTTTGCACAAATTCTAAATGGGTCGCCATCAACAACACCTACACGCAAAAATGAGAATAAAATATAACGACATAATTAGGACAGGAACTAACATCATAACACATATATATATTTTTTTATCTGTCTTTTCAAATCCCACTAATTCCATCTCCCGAATTCGTATTTTCTCTTCATTTATTCTCAATCATCTTCTTTTTCTCAAACTATTAGTTGAAAATTTAGATATATCAAGTAGATTAATACAATTTATTTGATGGATTCAGATCAATGTAAAAAAATTATAAAAAAATATATTTTTTTAATTTTTTTTATTCTAAAATCGATCATTTACCTACAACATCCGTTGTTCTTTTTTCTAACATACTTTAATATCATTAAATCATATGTTGAATATTAATTTCATAAACCATAAATCATATATTTCAGTATCTTTGATTTTAGCATACTTCTCCATAATGTAAACTGAATAATAAATATGAATTTTAATGCAATTTGCATTTTCATAATTTGTTTCAT